CTCTTCAAAGCAGTATGGATCTCATCTGGAAAGGCCACTTCGACTCGACACGGTTCCCTTGTCCGTAATCCATTCGAAATCGCATTTGTTGCTTTGCAAAACAGCTTTTTTTTTTCTCAAAATTACCGATTTTACATAGAGATCCCTTAACAATGAACAGCTGTCTACAAATCATTTGTGATGTTCAGCATCGCGCGGTGAGTTTCATAGTTATTACTATGCGAGCACGAGAAGGCATACGGATAGCAGAGCCAGTGCGAACATCCGCGAAGCGGAGGTGGCGCACTGGTATACCGATAACCACGGAAAAGATAAAATTTCACTGACCCTATCGGCATCCATTCGTGCAACGGTAAACCCTTGCTGATGGATATATTCAGGTAAGAGAGGAGCAGCTTTCAGATCCAGCTCGCTCAAACAATCATTGTAGTCCAGACCGAGTATAAAATTTCGAACAACTTGCAAGGTTTGTGCAGGTCTCGTAAGAGCAGCAGATTCGCCTGCTCCCTGAATATCAATCATCACTCGGCTCCATGAACTGATGATAACGCATATGTACCATAGAGTTTGCAGCAAAAAATACAGAAGATAGACCTGCTACAATCTTTCTTCCAGCTTTTTGAGATTCCCCACTTCCGAATTTAGTTTAGTGCTTTAGTGGTTGCAGTTGCTTTGGAGTAATGTATGTAGTGTCTTTCTCGCACTCTCTATTATCTTTTCTCCGCTTCAGCAACTGATTTCCTCTATTGACGTATATAGTCGTATTCAGGATCAAACGTGATGTTTCTACTGAAAATGATCGCCCGCTTTTAAAACGGGAGATTGATGCATACTGCCCCTGGGAGTTCGTATCGAGGGGTTAGGGATGGGGGGAGGATCGTTATCGCGGTGATACTTATATTAGCGATAACATGATACAATGTCAGACAAGCACTATGCAAAATACAAGCACAGGTTTGACCTACCATCGCACAAGTACATAATAAAAAGCCTTGCAAGCACAAGTGCATTACATTCGTAATTAGCATGTCAGATAACCCCTGTGGGCTAAGTTTTTGCGAATTCTGAGGTTCTACCATGTGAGAGGGTCATTTTCGAAGAGGTCAACTTTGCTCTAAAAAAGAGTTAACTACCTGCACACAATGCAAGAAACTACTATGTCTTTGCTCACATTAGGATCCCCACTTCGAATAACCTCCAAACTATGGAATGAAGAACAAACCAAAATTTGGTTTGTTCCAGTTTTCGCTTCATCTCAGAGTAGAGAATACCAATCAGGCTCAAATCACTTTTGTGGGTGTTAAGAGGTTTAGGCTATCGGATATATCCATTAGCGCATGGCACGTCTCAGCACGTTACATTAACCCGATATTTTCACAGTATTTAAAACATAGGTAAGGAAAAACCATTAGATCTTTCGCCAAAAGAAACGATTCTGAGCAAAATTTTTGCTTTTAAAGAAGAAGGTATGGCGGTGACAACGATATAAAAAACACAGATATTTGAATGTTTGAAGTCAAGTTAATGGGTGTGGCACAACCCCTAAAAAACGTGGCAGCCACAGCTTTTCTGGGGTTGTGCCACACTCTATTAACTTACCCCTACAAAGAAATTTAGGAACAAATTATATACAGTTTGATAGCCAGAATCTCATAGTTTTCGCAGAACTGATTGGAGCTGATTTCGTCTTCTTTCGCTTGCTCTATAGTTGTAGTAATACGACTACTGTATGCTAAAAATGGTACAAATAAGATTTTGGCTGGCTTTCAATTTCATAGTTTGATGGTTATTTAAAGCGGGATTCATGACATGAGCAATTAGGGAATAGTGCTTTGTACTGAGTTAATAGTAGTAGTTCACTCCTTCACTTTGGAATATACTTGAACATGTCTGAAAACGACCACTTCACTTGGGTGGCCCAATATCGGGAGAACCCTCAGAGTTCACTCGAACGTGGCCGACAGAGATTATCGACATGATAATTACGAATATGATTGTGCGACTATGTCGGCACCTTCCTTGCAACCAAATCATTACTTCTGCTTCAGCACCGTAAAGGTCATGCCATAAGCATGACCTGCTGTGATATGAGTATGCTATTGCCCAGATGTTTGTGATGTTACTTCGACACGCCTATCATACTCAGCATTCTACCATTGCACTCATACGTGCACGTCGTCTGTTCATAAATCTACTGCACATGTGTTCTGTATAACACAGGAGTCAAATACTCCCAATTAGGCGCTATATCGCCTCAGGCCACAATAGGGCCAACGAACCACCGATACAATGATACTGATTATACTTGGTAGAGCCTTTAAGTCATGCCTACGGCAGCCAAACGATAATGTAAGGGGGGGGGGGGGGTGGGAGGTGTAACAGAACTTAAAAGGGAGGGATTGTCTCCAGTGGTTTTGTACCACACCTCTTGCTTGACCCTGATCGTATCTTCTCCTATAATATAAACCGATCCCAAAAAACGAGACGGCGAGGATGGTCCGCCCCCCATGTGTGCTTCAACGGGTGTTTTGAATAGACGCCATTTGCCGAACGGGGCCTTATTGTGTAGAGACGCGACGGTGCGATCATGAGGTCAAGAGGACGCAGAGGTCCTAGCGCGAACGAGAGGCCACGACACGCAGGGTACGCTCTGCTGCTGCAATGGTGTGTTGAAAGACGCAAGCGCGTGCCAAGGGCATTGAAATTGCGAGCTGGTCATTGTTGGAAAGTTAGTTGTAGAAGCCTACCATTTGATCCGCTCCTATCCAATCTCTGTATTCACTATGCTTCCACCTTTCCGCCAAATTTTGAGAAAATCTTCGAAAATCTCGCTTTTGGGAGCCTTTCTGGGTGAATTCGATTTTTCTCTCCAGATAGTAAGCTTGAGTGCGAGAGTGACATTGCGAAAGGAAGCTGTACAGCGATGACAGAGGCAAAGCAAAATTCTAGAACGATATGACTCATTTTTCCTCCCATTGAAAAAATCTCTGAAAATGTTACTTTTGAGCGGTTGTGGCAAACATATACCAATAAATTAAAAATTCACTTGAGAAAATCATAGGTATGAAACGCGTTTATTTATGGGTGTGCCCTAACCGCTTGCTAGCGACCCGTAGGGTCGTTAGTCTTATATAAAAAGTTGAATGTCTGCTTGTCTGTCTGTTTGCATGTCTGTGTGTACGTGTGTTCCAAATAGAAAATTCCATTTCTGAACTGATCTGGACCAAACTTTGCACACATACACTTCGGGGCCGGGCGGATGTCATAGGCTACTTTTCTTTATCGACGAATATCGATTTTTATCGATTTTTTGTAAAGTTTGAGCTACGCGGCTGGGAGTTGGCACAGGCGGGTAAGTGAGCATGCTGATTACGAACTCATTATTTTTCAAAATTATCCATTACTTTTATCGATTTTACCGATTATTTTGCAAAGTTTGATCTAATGGGCTGAGAGTTGGCACAGGGGGTAAATGAGCATGCTGATTACTAAAACAGCGGGAATAGTGACTTGGGATGTAGACGTGGGCACATGGGAAGGTTGTACAGGGATAGGGAGAGCTTTATCATAGTGTTTTGAGAGGATACGGCGGAGCCGGGTAAGCCAGCTAGTTGTTTATACGCAGACAGGTATGTTGATGAACATATTTGCGAGTTGCTTGTGCACAGTACACGCATCTCACAATACTGTTTGTTTGGAGAGCTACCTCCATAAGTGAAGCTTTATCTTTTATGTATTAGGGTTAACGGTAAAAAATGGGATACCTAGAGGAGAACTGTACGTTTCTTAAAAAAGAGAAGTGACTGAACTTTCCAACTTGATAGATGAACATATTGTTCTCTTTCGGACAACACCTATATAGGTCATCAACATGATACTCCCTCTAATATATTTTGCTTCTACTCTTAGTTATATCTTTTGAGATTTTCCAAGCATCTAAAGAAGAAGTGTAAAATAGGAAAAAAATTTCCCATACACTACTTTAAAACTAACTCATTCTGCAAAAAAAGATATATTCATGCAACATAGCTAATATAGAATGCTCAACAGAATTAAATACACTGAGGCTTTTTTCCGATATTGGAACTGCCCAAACACGACCAATTGACGGGGCCTTTTAATTTGCTGTAAAACTTTCCCGAATTAAGCAGTCGTAAAAGCTTCTTGTCATTTGTTAAAGGTAAGACTAGAGCTGTCTGTAGCTACTTAACTTGAGACTGCCCAACCTTTGCTATTGGCGAAAAACTAACTCCAATTTTTTGCAGTTTACAGCTGCTTAATAAGAAGGTCGAAAAAATGGGAGGCTTTGACCTTGCAAATTTCTTGTCTTTCGAGAAAGTTCCAGAAAAATCTCTTGAATTCAATAGTAATGGCTTATGCTACAAGTGTAGGCATTTCCCGCTGGTCAATTCTTTCTTGAAAGGGCTACAATTTGCCAAAGAGGACGTTTTTGTTGTTTCCAGGTCCAACTAAATTCCCTTTTGTAGCTACTAGAACAACTAGGTAAGCGCTAGTTAGGTAAATGTTTTCTGATTACAGTGATTTGGACCGCATATTGAAATATGATTTCACTACGGAATTATCGCACTTCTGGCTCAACATGGTCTATGCAAACTTAGCCCCTTATTCTTCTTCAATAAACTATTCAGGGCCTGAACTTAAGCTTATTTGATGGATGTTTTTTCTCTTTTCTCTGTCTTATATCCTAAGTATCTTCGTTGATGATGGTACGACCCCTGTGCTCAACAAAGAGATAACCAAATAAAACAAAAGTGCACTTTTTTGCTGTAACGTTGCGCTGATTTGAAAAGAACATATCCAAGAATAGGCGCGTGTTGTATGATGCTTTGTGGAATACTTCTCTACTCTCCCATAAAAGACTATATAATGAAAGGCCAAAAAAGTAATTTGCTGTTGCGTCACACTTCTTTTTTGCCCTGCTATAACGCATAAGGATATGCACAGTAGTTTTAGGCTCCAAAGGAGCGGATCAAACATACCCGAATGGAGATCACAGCTAAATTTTTACTGTACAGAGTACGCAGTCCACCGTAAGTGTTATCGTATATTCCACGATAGTAGTTGAACCACCATGCACCTTCTACAGTAACCTAAAAGCTCTTCATTAACAATGAAGTATCTGTAGCAGCAACCCAGATCTCGACTAATCCGTAGCCATAACTCACATTGTAAACCGCGATAGCACTCAAATTGCGAACAAAATTCTGTGCGCTCAAAAAATTTCTTCTTATAGCCAGATCTCCGTTGTAGAACAGTATCTGAAACAACATTACTTTGTATGCATTATAAGGGAATTGTTGTTGCTTACTGAGATATTATGTATTGTATAAAAGTCACTGTTCAGCACGCCCAGCAAATCATTAGTTAGATCTGTCGCCAAAATATTGTGGTTGAATTGCCTGCAGCTGTTTGATCAAGTTAACAGTCTAACATCTAATGATGTGCATTTGAGCTGGTCCTTAATAAAACGAAACTCACGCGCACGTTGTGAATTTGACATTAGCATGCAGAGCATTCTGTACAGTGTCATTTTCTAAGTACATTCGAGTAGAATCTAAAGCGTGGCAAGGGTAGCCGTTCCAAGGGTCTGATGATGCATGATCTGACTGCTAAAATTATAATTCACTGAATGATCTCCAGCAGTTCAATAAAAACTGGTTATGAACCATCAACAATGTAGCCTTCTTGTCCCAAAGATCTCGGTGCTGATGATAACAGTCCTGGTACACATCCATCTGATTTGTTCTGTGACAGAATTATTAATGACAACACAAATGTAATACTTGATTAACTGATTTGCGAGCCAAGCTTTAACGGCCACTCGTGCTTTCTCTCGGCATGTCGTATTCGGATTATTGTAGAAGTTGCACATCATCGTAGACTGCTCAGGACAGCACGAAGAACGTAGATCGTTCCACTGACTAAATTGGAAGCATTTCTTGGCACGATAACGCTATGCGTCCACGAATTTGTTGTTTCTTCATTGACGGTCATGACGGTCAAATGCGCAGAAGACTTCAACCAACAAAATGTCAGTAGCTATCACTTCCTATTTTCTGAGGTTAAGGATTGTCGGGAAGAGGCCGGAAAAAATTATGTATGTGATTTACTCACAGTTCTCATTTTCTACCAGTCTGACCATCTTAACTATTTCTCATTCGGCGAGATGTACCCATTCCTCAACGTTTATTGTCGTCATTCGCATCAGTCGTAGCTCAAAATGTGAGCCTGCACACAACTCGCAGCGACTGACAATCATCAGTAGATTCTCATAAGGAAAGGATCATCCATCAAATTGGGGTTTCCACACATGATGCATATCATTCTGCTGCTCTTGGGGGCCCTAATGCCAAATCCGTGATCCTTAGCTGCTCAATGATTTTCTGGGAAAAGTTATGGAGATGGTTTACCAGGATGCGGCTGAAGCTCGCTTTGAGTTTGCGGTGCCAAGGACGTGCAGCTGTCAGCACTTTGCATCTTCGCAAATTGTGTAACGTGTGTATCAGAAGGTCCCTAAGGCCCCGGGCAGACTTCACGCGATTTGATCGTCGCGACTCAATCGCCAACATTTCCATTCATTTTCATTTCACATTCAAAAATTTCGGGCTGGAAAAGTATCACAACCGAAATGCAAGTTGATCGGCTTGGAATGATGTTGTAACAGTTGTCTCGTCGCGATTCAGTCGCGACGATCAAATGCGTGAAGTCTGCCCAGGGCCTAAGGCAGTCACTCATTGCAACTTAAATACATCAAATTCCGGAGATAATGGAAAAATCGTGCCAAGTTCCGATTGGTAGATCAGGTGCAAAAACATGTAAAGGTACTTGATGAGAAGCTTAGTCATCATTTGCAATATTTTCGCTGCAGCTGGTGGTGGGTTGGGAAATTGGAAATCAAGAAATTGTTGTTAGGAAATAGTGAGTTTAGAGACTGTAATCAAATGCTTTCATAAATGCGCTCTTTGTGAAAAGTTAATGTGTTTTAAACATTTTGTGATTAACTACCACACTTGCTCATTAATGGTTGATATTAAATATATTATAAACACGTTGATCGGCTTTGGCTATCTTCAAGCTATCAAACAAGTTGCTATGAGCGTTTCCTTGCCTTAAGGGCCTTCTGGATGTACACATTAAACAATTTGCAAAAATGCAAAAGTGGTGGCTGCAGAGGGAATCCAAACTAACCACTTCCTCCATAGTCTTCGCAGCTATCCACTCGGCCATCCGTCCACATCTGCCTATAGGCGCCGCATGCCCAAATCGAGCCTTAGCCGCATTCTGAGTAAGCCATCGCTCATAACTTCTCCCAGAAAACACTTGAGCAGCTAAGAATCACGGATTTGGCATTAGGGCCCTAAGAGCAGCAGAAAGATATGCATCATGTGTGGAAACCGCACTTCGATGGATGATTCTTCCCTTGTTAGCAAAATTGTAACCCAATAAACTGTAAAAGTAACGTCCGTTTTGTTTCATATTGAAAAACCATAATTTTGTCCAGTCTTCATATTTTTGAATGTAGTCAAGACTATCAGAAGCAGCAAACCTAACGTAATTAAGCGTGTACCTGCTCGTACTGATGTCGCTACCGATAAGAGTTCTATTAAGTTGGTGCAAAAATAATGTCCGCTTTGAAAAGTTTACTTTGAAAAGTTATAACTTTGTTCAGTGCTCATATTTATGAATATAGTCAAGACCATTAAAAGCAGTAAGCCTTTCGTATCAGCGCACATCTGCTCATACTGATAGTGCAATCGGGAAGGAAACCACGCTCATTTTGTAGCTGCAAGCCAGTAGTATAGTACGTACAGAAAGTACTTCAACGAAGTTCTAAGAAATGAAAAGATAAAAATCCAAAATTGTCCACCTCTTTGAGCCTGTTTTTGGTAGGCTTGAAAGTCCCAAATTATGAAAATTTGGAATTTTTTATGCACTGTATAGCTGAGTTTCTCTGCAAAAATTGTAGGCAAGATGTCCTAATCTCAAGCTTACAGAAATGAGCGAAGCTTTAGCGATTGCTTTTACTATGGAAAATTTTTGACTTGTAGAATGCCAGCAGCAAGTATTTAACTTGGGGCGTCGATTTCTCAGTCCAGATATTTTTGAAAAATCTACTAAAATATGCAATGGTTAAACATGTTTATCCCCTAAAGATGCTATGTTTTCAAAAGAATACGGGGAATAGAATACGAAAGAATACTGTTTCTGACTGTGGCTAAGATAGTGGAATGGAGAGAACTTCGATTTTGAGTGCGGGTGCGCAAAATACTGGTAACTCTCGAAGATGAAGATAGAAGACTAATTGAACCACTGCTTGAAAGTTTTATACATGAAGGAAGCTTTCCAATAATATGTTAAATCTGCATCGGAAAAAAAGTTTGATGGAAAAAAATTGTTCGGAAAATAGTCCGGGAAAACGGACATTATGCACCAACCTTATATTTACTCTAAAATTTTTAGAAGCATTCATTTCTTACTACTACTGTTTACTTTATTCTGTCATTCATTCGTAATGCGCATTCTGAGGGTCGCGCTTATAATTGTTAAAGAAGGTTGTAGTTCTCGAAAGTTTAAAATTCTTGACTTATACAGTGCTGGCCAAAACTATAGATCCACACTGCCGTAGTTCATCTGCTTATCAACGAAGTGATCTGAGATTTGGTACAGATGTGTGTTCAACAGGCTTCTATCAGTGACCGGAGCGGATCTCGCTTTCGTTAAATTATTTAGGAAAAAATCAAAAAGTTCGAAAAAGGCAGGCTCGAAGGTTGGCCAAAACTATAGATCCACCTAAAATTTCTGTCTGCTAAAGTATTTTCCGGCTTCCAAAGTACTTTGTGCATAGACATAGTCGAAAGTCAAAGCAGTGGCTTTAGTCCAGCTGTGTCATACCTTCATAAGAAATGCTTATCTGCTTTTTTTTTACTCAAAAAATACTTTTATGCGTATTTTGTTCCCGAGAATGTGTTTTTATAGAGGATTCCGCACTTTTTTGACTGATTTGAAAGTGGTAGGGCTCCATCTATCTTACAGATTCTTAGCAGTGTGAGCCGTAGAAAAAAATTCAAGTTTTCGTACCCAAAGCGCACCCGACATAGACCTAACCGCAGGCCTGCGTTGAAATTTATGCCTTTAGACTCTTTCTGCAATGGTTTCATGAGCGGAACTGGAGTAACGACATTGTTAGTATGTATGAGAGTCTGTATGCAGTGGTTGCAGATTTCTGCAGACCCTAGTATGCAGGCTAATTGAGGACTTCATTGTGCAATGATTTGCAACAAGCCTTGAAGTTATTTGTGGTTCTGACCATGATGCTTGTGTGAGTCACAAGGCAACATACAATGCAGAATGTATTCATTAGTTAGCAGCTAGATGGTGGCAAAATTCAAGGAGAGTACCACTTTGTAAGTACCTTGAGATTGCCGAGCAGACCGCAAGACTTTTGCTTTGAAAAAGAATTAAAATGCGACTTCGCAAGCAATCGTGACTAAGTTTACAAATTTCTTTTGATGTGAATAATACTAAACAACGATTCTACATCATTTTGAGCTTCCTAAATAGCGTACACCGATCTTGAAGGCAAAAATTTGAGCGTATGCCTGCGGTTAGGTCTATGTCGGGTGCGCTTTGGATACGAAAACTCGAATTTTTTTCTACTGCTCACACTGCTAAGCATCTATAAGGCCTAAGGCATACCTCGCGCGATTCCGGTCGCTGCGCGATTTGGCACAACGGCGACTCTCTGTAATTCGGCGTTAATGTGTTTCCTTTGGTCAGAACTTGACCCATTTGCAACAGCTTACACAAGCTACCCGTCTATGCTTTCGAGAAGCGCGCACGATAAATTTGTGGAAATCTGGCAAATTGCCAAGTCGCTTGAAAGTGGCGATTTGGCCGAATCGCGTGAGGTACGCCTTAGGCCTAAGATAGATGGAACCGTATTTCAAATCAGTCAAAAAAGTACGCAAATTTCTATGAAAACACATTCTTGGGAACAAAATACGCATAAAAGTATTTTTTTAATGAAGAAAGCAGATAAGCATTTCTTATAAAGGTATGACACAGCTGGACTAAAGCCACTGCTTTGACTTTCGACTATGTATATGCACAAAGTACTTGAGAAGCCGAGAATTACTTTAGCAGACAGAAATTTTAGGTGGATCTATAGTTTTGGCCAACCTTCGAGCCGGCTTTTTTCGAAATTTTTGATTTTTTTCCTGAATAATTTAACGAAAGAGATCCGCTCCGGTTACTGATAGAAGCCTGTTGAACACACATCTGCACCAAATCTCAGATCAAATGGTTGAGAAGCAGACGAACTACAGTCGAGTAGATTTCCTGCTTAATATAGTGTCTCTGCAGACGCGACAACGCTGGGGCGTCAATAATTGTCTGACGAGTTCCCGAGCTAGTGTTTTCCAGTGTTTTCTTCGCTTATTCTATGCTTTTTAGGTGATTCGTTGCTGATAAAGAAGAAAAGGGTAAGCTAGAAAGTAGCTGCTGTTTTCTGAAAAGTTTTTTCATTGCATATTCACAGATACCCACGTGGAAGCAGTTCGCGTCAGCTTCTTGTCTATTTTTTTGTCACTTCATGTCTCTTTCTTCTTATGAGGTACTTCCTTGAACGTTGGTGGGTTTTTAGGACTAACTTATTGGCTTTATCACATGAAGTACTTGATTAAAATGCTATTTCAAGCCGAAGTTGCTGCAAGACAAGCCAACTAGCGTTCAAAGAAACGCCTCACAAGAAGGAGGAGGTTTGAAAGAAGAAGTGGCAGAAGAAAAGGGAATGACAAAAAAATGGACAATTAGCTGACGCGAAATGATTCCACGTGGATATCTGTGAATACGCGATGATAGAACTTCTCAGAAAACAGAAACTAAACTTTAACTTACCCTTTTCCTCTTTCATGAAATAAGCAAAGAAAACATTGGAATACACTAGCTCGGTAACTCGCAAGGCTTTGTTGACGCCTCAGCGTTGTCGCGTCTGCAGGGACACTATATTAAGCAGGGAATCTACTCGACTGTACGGCAGTTTCTTATAGTGGATCTATAATTTTGGCCAGCACTGTATTGCTTACGATTGTTGAGCATTCTATTGATAGGATGTATCTTCCGAAAGTTTCCATAAACATTTTCACCCTTAGCTATTAAAGTATGGAACTTATGGGGTTGCACCAACTCAACCATGGGGGTTTGAGCAAGCTTTTTAAAATGTTACAAAAAAAGAGTGAGACCTGTAGAGGAAGATATCCTACTCTCCCACTTTTAGCAATATCATGAAAAGAAGAAAGAAGATGAAGAAAAACAAGGAAAAAAAATTTTTTTAATGAGAAGCGCTCCATCGGCATTTAAAAAGTTGTTTTCTCTTAAAACGCAGTTGTGAATGGTGAGCCTTTTGCGATGAAACATCCTCTCAGCTATCTATGTACCTTTCTCGAATTCTCCGCTAACCACGCCCCTGACAATGGAGAAAATCCGATATGTAAACAAAAAATAAATTTGCTGAAATGGAAGATGCTGAACATAGAAACTTACTCTTTGCCAGCAAATGCATGCATGTAAACGAATGGTATAATGGTGTTAAATTCGATCTCTTCGCTAAGCAATCCGTTTCCAAGCAGTATCCCCTGCAATGAGATACGTGGGCGCATGCATCAATTTCTTAATTTTTAATGCAGATTTTTTGCAGATTTTTCATTGGATTTATCGTTACAAAATCGATGCGCAATACTTCCGGAAATCGAAATATTTCATGGAATGAATGAATATCGAACAAATTTGAAAATCAAAATTTCTAGTAAACGACTATCAAATGATATTCGCAAATCATAACTTACCAGTGCGTCACCTCTGCTTCGCAGAGGCTCGCACTGGCCCTATTTTCTGTATACCTTACTCATTCCCGCATGATAATGACATTGAAACTCACCGGACTATGTAGGCTATCACGAATAATTCGTAAACAACTACTCATTCGTAGAGGTTTTCCATGTGAGATCGGTATTTTCGCGTTAATAAAATCTTTCCCAGAAGAACAGATGCAAATTCGAATAGGTTTTTGCAATTTTTACGGCTTGGTAGCCGCCGTAAGGACAATAAACATAGTGGGCTACTTCTCTATGCAAATATCTTTTCAAATAATCAGGTAATCTCTTGAAAAATTGGCCGTTTACACAGCGAATGCTTTTTGGCGCTGTTTTCGTAAAGTAGTAGACTTTTCATTACTTTTTTAAGCTAACGTCCATGGCTTGCACATTAGCTTGTCAAAATCCTTAACTCTGCAAAAAGTAGTACTACGGGCCCCAAATTTGCTGGCCAGAAGCCATGTGGATCCGTTTGACGCGCAATTTTTAATGGATCCACTCAACGGATCCGCTCATGCTTTTGTGTGGTGGGCTTTTATGTTGGTAGCGTGCGCTATGCAAAATTTGGGCTCAGGACGTTGGCTGGAACACGCTCTACGAATTTCGTGACAGACAGAGATTCACACACACACACACACACACACACACACACACACACACACACACACACACACACACACACACACACACACACACACACACACACACACACACACACACACACACACACACACACACACACACACACACACACACACACACACACACACACACACACACACACACACACACACACACACACACACACACACACACACACACACACACACACACACACACACACACACACACACACACACACACACACACACACACACACACACACACACACACACACACACACACACACACACACACACACACACACACACACACACACACACACACACACACACACACACACACACACACACACACACACACACACACACACACACACACACACACACACACACACACACACACACACACACACACACACACACACACACACACACACACACACACACACACACACACACACACACACACACACACACACACACACACACACACACACACACACACACACACACACACACACACACACACACACACACACACACACACACACACACACACACACACACACACACACACACACACACACACACACACACACACACACACACACACACACACACACACACACACACACACACACACACACACACACACACACACACACACACACACACACACACACACACACACACACACACACACACACACACACAGACAAACGTAAACAACCCTTAGCCCGTTATTATAAGTTATGATAATAACGGGCTAAGGATGTTTACGTGCTTTTGTGTGTGTGTGTGTGTGTGTGTGTGTGTGTGTGTGTGTGTGTGTGTGTGTGTGTGTGTGTGTGTGTGTGTGTGTGTGTGTGTGTGTGTGTGTGTGTGTGTGTAAGTTTGTCTGTCTGTCACGAAATTCGTAGAGCGTGTTCCAGCCAACCTCCTGAGCCCAAATCTTGCACAGCGCCTGCTACCATCATGAGAGTCTACTATACAAAGGCACGAGCGGATCCATTGGGTGGATCCCTCAAAAAATGCGCGTCAACCGGATACACTTGGCTTTTGGCCAGTAAAACTGAGTCTGTAGCGCAACTTTTTGCAAATTCCCGGATATTTTTGACAAGTTAATGAAGCCATGGTCTTTAGCGTAAAAAATTGAATGAAGTTTATTACATTGCGAAAACGGCGCTAAAAAGAATTGGTTGCGTAAATGTTCAATTTGCCAAGATTTCACCCGATCGTTTGAGAAAATTTTTGCACAGATATGTAGCCCACGGTGATTATGGCATCTTTTCGCGAATATCAAGTCATGGAAAGTCCAAATACCGGTTCAAATTTGCATTTGTTCTTTCGAGAAAAGTTTCGTTCATGCGAAATTACCGATCTCATATGGAAAAGCTTTTGGAATGAATAGCTGTTTACAAATCATTCGTGAGAGTCCGCATAGCGCGGTGAGTTCCAATGTCATTATTGTGCGAGAATGAGTGAGGCATACAGATAGTAGGGCCAGTGCGAACCTCTGCGAAGCAGAGGTGAAGCACTGATTAGAAATATCGAACAAACAATGTTGACTAAATTTGAAATTGAAATATCCGAGTAAACGAATGCCAAATAAATTCTGATTGGACGAATATCGATTATATTCGACCATTGAAGGTCAAATTTCGTTATATACTTGAATGATATTCGAATGGCCAAACAATCAGATCAGTTATTCAAATATACTTAATCGAATGATTTATTCGGATGAGATCAACTATATCTAAAACTTGCTGACATACCGACCTCGGTTATGAGCTCTGCAACGATCTCGTTTAAATAAACTGAACTTGTGAAATATTCGAATAGAATAACAGAATAATATTCTCTCGAAATTTTGTCGGGACGCAGCTATTACCCAACAGCTGCTCGCGATGGAGATTGCTCTAAGATAACGAAACTCTGGCAGTGACCTCCGCCCGCCGGCAGGAGCCGGTGCCCTCTTCCCTCTTTCTCTTTCCCTTTCTGTGTATAATTTGTATAATAAACATCATAGTAAGTCTAATGTAAACCCGCTGCACATCAGATAAAGGCGTCATGACCTTTATCCTGACATGGAAGTCCCAGGGAGATATTTTTTTAGAATTCTAAGATTTGATTTTATTCTAAAGAACTTTTGATACGGGATATAAAAAAATTTTTAATTCCCCCCCCTCTCTTTCTACAACCCTCCGCTCGTATGAAAGGAGGTCGCTCACCAAAGAATGAGAGCGAGTGTGTGAGTTTCATAGTATTCTATTTACATATTTAACAACAATTATACAAATATCTAATCATTTCAGAAAATAAAATAAAATAAAAAATATACAGTCCTGCGAACAGTCCCATTATGTCAATTTTCGCTTAGTAAATTACCGGGATCCGTGAATATCTAGATAAAATACCGCGAGCCGTGAGTCCGTGAATGCCCGTGACTTTTTGGAAAAAAGCTTATCCGTGACTTTTTTGGCAAAAATACATGTCCGTGATTCCGTGATCCGTGAGCCGTGATCCGTGATTATTTAGATAAAATACCGCGAGCCGTGATTTTTTTTGCAACCGTGATCAGTGATTTTCAATTATTTTTTTTCTTCTTCAATAAGACAATGGACTTGTTCGCAACCGCTAGCATAAAATTCAGATCTGTGTTAATTGCTTCGATCCAGCGCTAGTGATATAGCGCAAATGTTGTGTTGACCTTCTAGGCATTATAGCAGAACAGATGCAACTGTCCGAGCGGGTCGACCTTTTCTGGTGATAAAGTAGCGAGCAGCTTGTCAGTGATGTTAGCATTTTACCTCGCCGCAGACTAATAATATTTGCACGCCACGGTCTAGCAAATGCATTAATTGCGCATACTGACCTTTTATGATTGTGATAGGCGTTTAGCAACAACAATCGTGACCGTTATCTGCCGCAACGTCTACTCTTAAGTAATCTGGTTTAATACACTAGCTACCTAGGGGGTATTACTATCTCAAGTCATACAAATATGTTTCCATCTGAAATAACATAGTAACATTGAAGAACTCGTTCAGTTCAACGAAACTACATTTTGAATTTAAAAAAACTTTTTTCCGACTTTTGATAAAGTACCACTTTGCTTTTGTCATCCATGATGGCGATTAGATCCCTATAAAGGTCCTTTACTATTCGCATCAAATTTATTTCTGGCATAGCTCCAAATAGTGACCCATAGCGACCGTGTCCCATTGGAAGAAAGAAATGAGATATAGCTCCAAATTGATAGAATTTTAAGGAACGTTCAATCGAACCTAGCAGCAAGTTGACTTCTCTCATAGTTTTTGTAAAGAAAGGATTTAATAAAGATCAATGTCTTTTTACTGGTCTTTTCTTCCATTCTCAAAACTTTGAAATAAAGTTAACCTCTCAAATGCGCATTCTTTTTCGAACTGGAGTGCAACATCTGGATGTACAATGCAGAAAGGGTACACGCCCTAACCACAAAAAGAAAGGTCGAGAATATAGCTAATATAACTCCGCGCTCCAAAGACAGTAAAGCGCTAAAATCATTCTTGAGAGCCATCGTACTTTCGAAGATACACACGTTTTGCCTTAATTGCCGATCCTTTAATCACATTCTTTCCAAAAATGCTTTTATTTGGAAGGAAGAACATCAGCATTTGAAACATTAAAAAAGCCCTAGTGATGCGCGTGTTTTAGTGCTCCTGTTTTAGGAAATTTTAGATCATCCATACCAACGATGCTGCACTCGGTTTCGTCGCATGCCTCCTACAAGTCTAACCGGTGGCTAGTAGTGAGTTTCATCTCAAAAAAGGCATCCGATTTCTTACCAAGCACAAAAAAAAGATCATGTGGTATAAGAAGCACTAACACTTGTTGTTAACAGATAATCAACTCTGTTACAGCTTCTATCACTTTAATCGTTGATGATGCTGAATTTAAAACCTCAAGCATCCGCCAGATTCCGTGCCCGTCATGCTAGCCAAATACTCATCCGCTTTATCGAGTTAAACATGACGATTCTGCTAGCCTCCCATAAGGAACAGTTAGCATGACTCAAAAGTGAGAAGATTTCTTGTTGCTGTAAGGCAAAAACATGCCAATAGTTCTTTGTCCGCAGAATCCAAGATAGTCACAAAA